GACCAATCTGGCTGTGTTGGAAACAACATCCCAGCAGAAAGTGCAATACCGGTACTCGATAGAAATTCTCCCCACATGGAAATCTAACTCGGATCTTCTGCGTGCAGATTCTTGAGGTAATATGTGAAAAAAAAATGTATGTATGATAATGAACTATTTACAAAAGTACAATTTGATTGCTCATATTATTATTTTATACTTGCGAGCGGGTGGTGGGGGATCACTGGTTGGTCGTGCTTCGTTTCTTTCTCTCCGTTGTTTCTGTCTGTCCGTCTTAATCTATCTCTGCACTAAATGATCATTATTAAGCCAATGTGCTTCTCTTTTCTCAAATCCAAGTATATTGATACTTGTGCGAACTTCTGAGTGTGTGTTAGTGTGTGTATGTGTGTGTGTGAGTGTGTGTGTGTGTGTGTGTGTGTGTGTGTGTGTGTGTGTGTATCTGGGTGTCTGTGTGTATGTGTGAGAGAGAGCGAGAGAGAGAGAGAGGGGGAGAGAGAGAGAGGAGAGAATGAGAGAGAGAGAGAGACAGAGAGAGTTTGCTTATTTATCTCTTTACTTGTCAACAGCCCTCTGGTTTGGAGTGTAGGGACATGGGGGTAGGTGGACACATCGCTAGCTCAGTTGGTATCATGTTTGTCTACCGTGTGGAGATCCCTTACTGGAATCTAAAACAGGGCGTTCTTAGACATGGGTTATTTTAAGCGCTCATTCCTATCGGAGTTTGGAATGCGCAGTCTGGGCAATTAGATAACCAAGACATCGCATCAACATGCCACACACACTGTACACTTTACACATTATGGAGTTATTATTTTTCAAAACAAAAGAGGATAGACTGAGGTTTCCCAAATAGACAACATTAAAACAATTTGGGAGTTAACACATCCTGTTCGAAAGGTGAATATTGGCTTTACCAAGGAACCAGATTATGTCAAGGCGGAACTGTTCAAGCTTTTTCTAGCTGTAGACTGTCATTATCTACCGACAGACGTCTCATATACGGCTCTTCTACTGAAAGCCCCCACCCCCCACCCCCCATGACGTTTAATGGTAAAGGGGTGCCAACAGTGTGTGTTTGACCTGAAGTGATCATTCTGTCTGGGATTTTTTTAGTTCTTATTCTCCACATGTCCTAAAATTAAGGGCTATTTTCACCCTTGACTTCAAAGGAGGCATTGGACACTTCAACATTATTTCCGCACTTTGTGCCAAACTTACGAAATGAGTTGGTGCTGAGGAAATGTTCAATACAAAAAGCTCTCTGCTCTTTACTAATCTTAACCATGATCTCAACAGACAAAGGAAACTTGAGAAACATTTTCGGCAAACTTCTGTTGGCCTGTTAGACTACGGAAGCTTGCAATAAAGCCCAATCGTTCGGACTTTAGGAGGTAGGCCTAAGGCGAACTAGTGCGTCATACTACAAAAATGGGGACATAGCTGAAAATGGGTTGGGTTTTTTTTTACGCACTATGTAGAGAAAAAACATCTAGTTGATGAAAGTCTGGACTTTATTCAGTACAACAAAGACGTTACTGAATAAAGTCCAGACTTTCATCAACAGATGTATGAGGAGTATTCTAATAATTTAGTGGCAGGACAGAATAAGAAATGAAGAGCTGTGGGAAAGGACAAGACAAAAGGATATAGAAGTAGAAATAGGACTAAGAAAGAGGCCAAGGATGGGACACACCTTTAAGAAAGCCCAGCGGAAACATCACAAGTCAGTCACTCTAGTGGAACCCACAAGGAGCACGAGGCTGGGGTAGGCCACGGAAAACATGGAGGAGATGCGTGGAAAGGGACAAGAGAGAGATGAAGCTCATCTGGAACGAGCTTGGAAGGATGGCCCAGGACAGAGATAAATGGAAGGAGCTTGTAGGTGGCCTATACCCTGCCAGGGGTGAAAGGCATTGATGATGATGATATGTAGAGAAAAACTATTTTGTGGATTTTTCAAAAATAAATATCAGACAAATTCCTTTCCTGTTGACTCCAAAAATGTTGTGTACAAATTTAAAAAACAAAACTTCGGTGAGGAGGAAAATATTTACAAAAAAAGTTGTTCATTCTTTTGTTGTTGTCTTTCGTATCACCCTGTGCATCCACTCAATTTTTTACTAACAGTTATAATACATCTTACTTATGCACCCACCCCGTCTCTTACTTGTACCTTTACTACCCCTCCCCTTACCCCCCCCCCCTTACCCCCCCCCAAAAAAAAATCGCTCGCTATCTCATAACGTGGTAATGCCATGGACGGACACGGGATTATGCACGTTAAATAAATTGCACAGCTCTTGTGGCCGGCAATATTTAGTCTAATCTATTTTTCTTTCTTTTTTTTCTTTGTTTTTTATATCACAACAGAAAGGTATAATATTATGTGTGCCGTGGCCAATTTGAATTTTTCATCTTCATATTCGGTCCCGCCGATGGGCAGTACAAGTCAAACTATAAATGTGAACTCAACTCAACTTCGAAGCGCGCTATGCCACTGTACAACCCGGCAGCCCGCAGTTAGAGAAACAGATTAACTTGTGTCCGCTCAACGATTAAGTGATTAGTCCAGCCAAACTTAGGTCAGAGGTTAGCACGAGTTGACAGCCGGGGTACCGCCCACCATAATTGCTCAGGCTCCGCCCCCTTACCCCCTGGTCAGTACCCACGGTTGTGATACCAGATTTGTGTGAGACGTTGACAGAAATGTGATACTGATACTCTCTGTGAGATATCTTGCTTGTTATTTCATTATTTATCATGCCTGGTTGAATATCATTTCCCAGTTCAAGTTCTAGTAACAGAACTGACCATTTCAAAAGCAAACAACTAAATTCACTTGTGTAAGTCTCACAGCTGAGAAGAGGTGGAACAATGAAAAAACTGATGTCAGACTAACCACATTTAAACCGCCAAACAACACTTCCTTTCTCAACGACAATACTGTGAACTGCATCTAAGAACAGTTTATTTTCGAAAGCGAAGTTCTTTTTGTATTTTAGTTTCAGAATGTCGTTTTCCGATACATTGTATACGATTGTTTTAGAACAAATATTTAGACAGGAACAAGCAGCATTCTATTCAAACCCCCGGGGCAGTGCCACAGACTGTACTGTCTTTAGGCCTTTCCCAAAGGGGGGACACTTCTCGTTCAAGCACAGTAGAATTATTAATGGGCTGATTCATGTCACGCTCACAACTGTGTCTGATCTACAACAGGGAACTGCTGCTTTTTCATTCGTAATCCTTACTATTGTCATTTTCCTCTACTTCTTTCGTATGTTTGTCACTCTCTTGTGACTTGCTATTTCCGGGGTGCCTTGATAGTCGAGCTGTTGAGGCAGGAGAGGTGAGCAGAATAAGTCTGATTCCCTGTAAAGACTTCTCTGTAGACACCCACCCCTTGGCGCTCATATGACCTTATGCCGTTGCGAGCGCCGTAAAACCCTCTACTATTTAAAAAAAGGCATTCTATTCTTGCTTTTGGAATAAAGCTTAATTAAGGAAAATCTAAATTATTCTAATTTCAACTTGATTAAAAACTGAAGAAGTCATATGTGTTCACTCCAGAGTCAACGTGGAGATAGGTAAGATACGGGGCGGTTGTTTCGGTGTGTTTTTTAAAGATACACTATGCTGTAGATTTCGAATAGACATATCCAAAAACGAATTGCTTTATAATTTGAAAGAAACGTCTCGTTGACACTAAGTTACATTATTGCTCTGAGAACAAAACAATATATTTTTTTTAAACATGTGCTCGGAATACTGAAAAACTTTTAAATTTAATGAGCAACACATTTAAATTATACAGTTGTAATGTATGTCGTCCATGCTAAGGGCGTTTCAAGGTACGTAACTCAGAAAATACAAACATCTCACACCTTGATTATGTCCCCTACTTTGACTAAGAAATAAGATATCGAATAAGATAACATACCACAACATACTAACATAACATAAAACAACATAACAGGAGATAGATGTACTTTATTGACCCTCTGGTGGAAGAAATTAACAGTGTGCTTTCACCATGCAGCTTCTGTGGAACAAAATACATGTATAGGCAACATACAAAGTATAATTTCCATACTTCTCTCTCTCTCTCTCTCTCTCTCTCTCTTTCTCTCTCTCTCTCTCTCTCTCTCTCTCTCTCTCTCTCTCTATATATATATATATATATATATATATATATATATATATATATATATATATATATATATATATATATATACCTCGTAGTTCAACATTTTTTGCTTACAACAATGTGTCAACAACTTGCTCAGGAATAGAAAACTTAACCTTGAGTACATAATTTTCTTACGAGTGTTATCTTCTTCTTCTTCTCCATCGCATCATACCTGGAGCCTGTCTCTATCATATACAGTGAAACTCGGGTATAACAGGACAGACGGGACCAGCAGTTTCTTCCTGTGATATGCGAGTCCTGTTAAATCCGTTATCAAGGGGAACTACCAGTATCATTGCATCTTCAGCTTACTACATATATTCGATAAACGCAGATCCTTTTCCAGTGGGCTGTTTTACTGACACTGAGATGGAATCTATCAGTGACCCAACTATATGGGGGGGGGAGAGGGGTATGCGTTTGGGAGTTTTTGTTTAGGCAAGTGATCATACTAACAGATGAAATGTCTTGGTTGAGACAAATTTTAAATTTAATAATTTGAATGATCGAAAGCAAGTTCTTGCCCTGCAAGATTACTGTTATATCTGGGTCTGCGCAAATTGAACCATGTTATAGCCAGGTTCATATTCATCCTCATCATCATTGCCTTTCTCACCCTACACCAGGGTAGGCCACAGGCAAACACTTTCCACCTTTCTCTATCAAGGGCTAGCCTCTTGATGTTATTCCATGTCTTCCTACTTTTCTGTACATCAATTTCTGTGGTTCTTCTCCAGGTTCCACGCGGTCTTCCCCTTGATCTCTTACCCTGTGGATTCCAACCCAAAACTTTCTTTGTTATGCAGATGCCTGACTTCCTGAGATTATGTCCAATCCATCGCCACCGCCTTCTTCCTGCCTCATCTCTGACTGGGATCCTGGGTTCATATTTCTTACACTTATTTAGAAAAAAAGGGGAATTGATTTATCACTGTTATATCCAAGTTCCTGTTATAACAGAAGCTGTTATAAATGGACTGGACTGTACTGGGCCGTCTTGCTCAGTCTTTATGTCTGCTCAAACAGCTGTCTTCTGCAGTGCTACTTGGGTTGGCCATGTCTCCTGTCTCAGGGCCCTGTATGTCCTGTATTGCCGGGGGGTATAGTTCCACAGTCTGGTCCGCTTCTCCACTCTGATATTTTGGGGACTGAACTACTTTAAAACATCTGTACACGTACGCTTCTAAGTTTCGTGTGTTGTGTTCTTACTCTGAAGATATTATTTTCATGTCTTCTAAGATGTATTGTTACATCAAGAAAATCATTGTTGGGACAACAGTGGTAATTAATTTAAACACAAATATATCCTTTGTGGGTCCTTGTTACTGTTGCCCAGAGTTGTCCAGAAAGACTACTGTGTCAAGGCATCAGATATCTTGTGCTTAAGTGATCAGGCTCATAACAGAAAGGTCATGGGTTCGAAACCCATCAGGGGCCCGACATTGCATTTTTGGGAAAGGCACTTTATATCAATGGGTACCCGACTATAGTCGGTGAAAGATCTTGTCAGTTTGTTAGAGTGCGCTTAATTGGCTGCTTGCACAATGTGGTTACCAGGAAGCCAAGACTGTTTGTGGATGTTTTTGCGTGTGCTGTTGTAAAAATGGTTGTAAAGAGCATGCTGTCGTGTGGATATGCGGTATATAGATGCAATTATTTATTTATCATTATTATTATTATTATTATTATTATTATTATTATTATTATTATTATTATTATTTATTATTAATATCATTATTATAAAATAAGAAACATGTAGACCTGCAACTATGAAAGATATAAAAGAAATGTTATAAAAAGAAACACACTGTGTCTAAAAGTAAAAATATAAACGTACAACTCTTCTTTTTTTAAAAGGAATTTGCTCAAATAGAATAAATGAAAACAAATCTTAAAAAAAACAAACAAACTACTTAATAAAAGGGAAACATGCCGAGTTGTAATTAAAGTTTGAGCACTACACCGTCCCCAGGATTCAGAGTCAGTCCTTGCAAACTAACAGTCTGACCAGTGGTCAAGCGCTTGCTGGCTGAGCATGTACAGATCTCCACTGTGGCGTTCACAGGTGACCCGCTGAAGTCTGAGAGGGCGGGAACTTTGCCCACATTCAGGGCCACCAGATAGCGCTCGCCAGAAGTTTTGTCTTCCCGGATGTAGGAAAATACCTCTGGGGGAAAGACAATATTATTATTGTTATTACTATTATTATCATCATCATCATCATCATCATCATCACGATCATTATTATTATTATCACCACCACCACCATCATCATCATTATTATTATTCTTATTCTTTTTCTTCTTATTATTATTATTATTAATATTATTATTATTATCATTATTATTATTATTATTATTATTATTATTATTATTATTATTATTATTATTATTATTAGCCTATTAGTATTGTTATCATTGTTATTATTATTATCATTATCATATTTCTGTTATATTATTATCATTACTATCATTACTATCATTACTATCATTATCATCATCATTATTACTATCATTATTATTATTATTATTATTATTACTATTGCTATTATTATCATTATTATTGCCCGAATTTGTAGTATCGATAATCATGACCTTTTTGTAGGGGTAGACAGTAATGTTGATAATGGTTTTTAATTTTATCTATAGTATGTATCTTTTAGTGCTTTTATAGAATTTGAATTTCAACAAAACATTTCCCAACAATATGCAGCTGAAACTCCTGATTAAGATGTAAAAAATATGCAATTACAGAAAATAAAAATCTTAGGCTCAGTGCATCTGTACAGCTGGCCAATGAAAACGTAAAAAATAGAATAACATACAGATCCCCTGTACCTTTGTTGCAGATTGCGAACTCAATTCCCCCGCACAGAAAGGCAGGCTTCTGTCTTAGCGTAGCAAGAGCTTTGTACAGAGTCAAAGACGTGCTTGACCCATCAGACTTTGTCTGTGTCTGGGGAATGGATGACTATTTAGAGAGGAGCAGTTTTAAAAATGAAAGAAGAAAAATAAATAAAAATCTAACTAATATTGAATCCCATCGGGAAGTTAAGTTCACAATGGTATGGTTACATAAACTCATAATTACTGTCCAACCTGTCCAAGATGACCACCTATTGTTGTGGTGAAAATTGATCATCATTTTATAGATAATCGTCTTGAACAGGTCTTGTTATGATAAAGGGAAAAAACCAAAGTAGGGAAGGGGAAAGTGGTCATTTGTGCAGGTTACTGTCTTGGACAGGAGGTCATTAGAGCAGGTTCAATTGTACTTACATAGAATAGCTGACTAGTGTGACCAGTACAGACAATTAACATGCTATAGGACCCTGTTTTTGAGCAAGGAATAGTGCCTTCCTAAATGGCATACCCCAGTGACCAAACAAAAATAGAAGGAATAAATGAAAAGTGTACACAAGAAGCTAGTTTTTAATGTAGATTATTACACCCAATTGACACAACTGGATCATTAAGGAGGTGGACTTCAATCCTACCTGTTACGACTAACCTGAGAACCATACAGCATCCTAGCAAAAATACCCAGATACTCAATAAAAATTCTTCCCACCTGGTAATCGAACTCGGGTCTCATGTGTGTGATGGTGAAACGCCTTATTACTGCTGACACACCACAGATTGCGGTGCAACGAGAAGTTACAGTTTGGCCCGTCAGAGGCGTGTATAAACAACACATCACCCATGACCACAGAACAACTGTTTATACAAGACTATACAAGACACTCCCAGCAAAGCAGCCACATGTCCAGTGCCAGTATTACTTAGAGACAAAAATTTAGGCAACTAGGAGGCACTTAAACAGACAGTTATATTTGTAAAGATGTTTGGCATCACCAAATGAAGAACGGGAGGAGAAAAAAAGAAAAAATGGAAGAAAAATTAACACAGCAACAGGCCCACCCTCACCAACCTCTGTGACATAATCATCATCATCATGAAGTGACAGATCAGAAAGAGACATACTCGATCATGATTCTACTTTCATTTCGCCGCTCGGATACTCTCCAAAATCTATATTACCCTGCTGTTTCTTCATCATCCATCTCTTTATGTTTCTCCAAGTTTACCGCTGCCTTGTTAGTTGTTTTTTTGTCTGGCTTGCAAAAGACTTGAGTTTGATTCCCATGAGCAGAGATCTATTATACCACTTATCTCCATCTTTCCCACAGGATGCTACATCTCACTCATCCAGGCACATGACCATGACAGGCATAGTCGAAACATCAACTTCCCTGCCCCCCCCCCCCCCCCACCCACTTGTGCTCTCCAATAAAGTTGTGTCGATGGGGACGTAAAAAAGTACATGTACAGTCACGCAAACCCACCTTCACGTTACAGTTAGCGTAATCTGGGTGTACAGGCAGCCAGGGATGGTCGCTTTTTGTGAAGCCAGCGTGTCGGGTGTTGTCCCACTGCATAGGTGAGCGGCAGGGGTCTCGGGAGAACAGTTCATAGCGCTCCTGTCAAGGGATCATGGAAGACAATTTTTAAACGTCTAATGTTTATTTTGTTTTGGTAAGTGTTTTACGGTGCTGGCAACTGCATAAGGTCATATGAGTCCGTGGGACACACTCAACATTTTCATTTTGGAAAGAATTTAGAATTTTGTCCCAGTGCAGGCTAAAGCCTACTTTCATTGATTTTTGGAAAACCAAGGGATCTTTTACTACGCACACAGGACCTCCAAGATTTTTCACCCTATCCGAGAAGGCTAGGTGTTAGATCTTACTTACCATAAGAACAAGGGTGAGGCTGGAAGACAGCAGTAAGAAGGAGCCATGGAGTAGCAGTAGAAAGGCTGCAGAAAAAGTCAGGAGCTCGGAGGAGGGGGGAAAGGGGAAGGGGATGAGGGGGGTAGAAAATTGAGATGAAAGCAGATGACAGAACATGGTTAGACAGCAGGATAAAGAAACAAAAGGAGAAAATTTTAGGGAGGAAACATTTTCCATTGCTGTCAGGTTTAGAACCCAGGACCTATTGAATGAGAGGTCAACACTTTAACCTCTAGACCTCGGGAGCACTTCAGGACGTAGCGGAGACATAATATGCCTGATCAGCAGCATTTTTAAAGTCAGAATTACGAAACATTTTGAACCACCATACACAAATCAGAAACACGAGTTTGCACAATTTGTAGGATGCATGTTGTTGCATTTAAGTTTCAAATAAAGTAAGCAGAGCTGAAAAATCCGTTTGAACAACGCAAACTATATGTTTCTTTTTTAAGTGCCCTAAAACAGTGTGTATTCAAGAGTTGCCGACTTCCAAGAATGCACCCCCTCAATGAGTTAATGGGTGTGGGAATATTTAAATCTTGAAAAACGATATTATAAAGTGTTTTATATATATACAACATATATGTATATATATGTATATATATATATATATATATATATATATATATATATATATATATATATATATATATATATATATATATATATATATATATATATTATATATATATATATATTGTATATATGCAAGACATACCATTCCCATATCCAAAAAAAAATCACGCAGCACAAGTCATGTCACCCAGACCTCCTACATACCGGTCCCATGTTCTTGCCAAAAGGATCCTGAGTATCCTCAAAGGAGACCTCAATGTTCGACATAGCCAGCTCCTCGCCGTAGTAGGTAGTGGGTGTGCCTTTGAGAGTGAGCAGCAGCATGTTCAAAACATCGGCAAACTCTCGGCCAAACCTGAAGGTCAGTCTGTTTCGGTCATGATTGCCCAGCTGGGGGGTTAGGGGGCAGGGGGGAGGAGTCGAGGGTATAGCAAAATATATTTTCAGAGTGTTATGGTCACAAGAAGTTTAATAATGCTTTTTGGGTGGGGGGGGGGGAGAATATTGTATTTCTTTTCCCTTTGTGTAAGCGATTACTATAAATGTTGCCACCCTCATCCTTGTTGAGGTAACTATCTTTATTATCATTACTGTTAATAGTATTAATATTATTATTAGATTAATAAAAATAATATATTATTATACTATTATCAATATCATCTCACTATCATTATTTTTATTATTATTATTATTATTGTTGTTATTATTATTATTATTATTATTAATATTATTATTATTATTATTATCATTCTTCTTCTTCTTCTTCTTCTTCTTCTTCTTCTTCTTCTTCTTCTTCTTCTTCTTCTTCTTCTTATTATTATTATTATTAAATTCCCATTCACCATCATGCTCCCTGCACTTTATACAATTTGTTGTTACCTAAGCAGACCTGATAGCATTCTGAAACAATGTAAACTTTCTGAGAAGCATGCAGTGCAATTTGTCTTTTGAGGGCGCTAAAACATTAATATACTGACAAAATCTTTTGTCATCTACGGCCACCTGGGTGAAACAAGGAAAATTCGTGTAAGGTGTCTTTCCAAGGACACAATGTCGGGCCTGAGCCTCGAACCCCTGTCGAACTTGCACTTTCATGATTACAAATCCGGTAGCACGACAGCTAGTGTATCTACGAATGCATACCAGATTTTACCATTGTGGGAAAGAAATGCACAAACGCACTCACAACAAAAGTAGGCCAGCCCCCTCCAATATTGGAGTACTCCTCTTCAATGAGTGACTTCAAGGACTGACCAGACAGCCCTGACCTTTCAAGGTCTACCAGGTCCATGTTGAAGGGATTTCCGCCAAACTCACGGTACACATTTCGACTTTTGGCAGGAGCGTAGATTTCTATCACCATAAACCTGAAAGAAGTTGATGCCAAAATGGATACAGAAACATAATATTATGAAGGGCTCCATATTAAAATGCATTAATTATAGCCATTTACTACTAAAATGAGAAAAACAGAATTTAAAAACATATTTTCAGAAAACATAAGTATGAACAAAACGCAATTTTGTCATGCTAGATATCAACTGACGCAGTGCATTTTGAAGAGAAAAAAAACAATTTTCACCACAATTATGACAATAATTTATGTTTCGCAATGGAACCTCTTCCGGTGACATCAATTGGGCAAATCAAAGATCTTCCCCCCCTTCTTTTTTTGTTTCAATTCGGCCTATAATTAAAGCACATGACACAGACATAACAATAGAGAAGTATGATTATATTACAGTAAAAAAATTATTATTTCACTTTATGTACCAGAAACTATGAATTTAAATAGTGTTTAGTTCTGCATTGAGTTACTTCCCCTTTCAAACGCCGACGCTGATTAATATCACACACCGACAAGAATACGGATACGGGATGGGAGAAACGTCGAAGGGGAACAACCGTGAAAACACAAAGAGACCATTAAGTTTCTGAGATTATGCCCCCTTAATGCTCATTGGCGAATGGCGACCGCAACACGATAATAAAAAACCAATTTCAACTTCAACAAAATGTTAATATTAGGCAACTTCGAGGATGATTATAATAGCTATTACTATTAACATTATTATTATTATTATTATTATTATTATTATTATTATTATTATTACTATTAC